GCAAGACAACTCCAATATTTTACTCTTTTGTTCGGAGTAGATGAACCCTTCTCTTAATATAATAATGATATAACAATCTATCATACAGTCACATTTAATCACTCATGCTTAAGCGTTTCTTTGTATTCATCTATATAGCGCTATGAATTTGCCTCATTATTTTAAGATATATATATATATATTCAACTTTCATATAACTAAATTTACCCTCATATAGTATAACTTCTTAGTAAATATATTTGCGTAACATAGTTTAGTTGTTTAGTAGATTCTATTTCTTTCCTTATTTTCGTAAAAAGAAGTCTCAACGGATTTATATAGACACTTTCTACAAGGATTCCGTTAAGATTTCATAATAGAAACAACATCTGTACACCACATGAAAAGTCATAAACCCGGCTATTGTTTAACCCGCTTCAACGACCGGCATGGACTTTCCCTTTGGTCCTTTAGAAAAGTTGACAATCGACAGGAGACAGAAATTCATTTTACATCATACCTTCTAGAACCTTCTAGAAGCTTTACTTATCATACGGCAAGAATTTCGTGCGGGCCGTGTGCCGAAAAGTTTATGTTACACGACACCACTTAACCGTCTCCCGGCGAGAGATAAGCGCTCTGCGCTTCCCTTGCGAGTCTTTTACTGAGACCAAAAAATTAATGCATTGAATTAAAATATATTATTAGATCGAATTAATATTGGTTAAATTCCCTTTTCTTTAATAAAAAACTATATAATTACGTGTCAAACGACACCCCATAATTTTACATTTCAATACTTGAATTTATAAATCCATTTAAATATTCTAATATAAAACAAGAATGAATTTCTGGATTCTCGATAATGCGAACTGTAGTATTTAGTAATTATGAATAAGAGGGAGGAAGGAATATAAGTATGAGATTGCAATTATTAGCAAAAGCCAATTAAGCGTACGGAAAATATATTAACACTGGCATTCTCTTAAACAATTCACAAATTCCACGTATACTTGAATGACGTATTTTACATGATTATAAAAATGATCTTTCTATATTATAATTATAAAATTCCTTTGTTAAATTATATTCTCGCATATAAAAGCGAGTAATCTCATAGCGTAACGCTTAATTGATATGCGCAGAAGACATTCTATTGTCTCGCGGCAGCGGCCGCGCGCCGAGCCGAAATGCAGGTAGGCGACCAAGCGGGCCGCGCAGTTGAAAAAGATCCTTCGTCAAGTACAGACGTTTTTCGAAGCAGTTGAAAAGAGTCACTCGTGCAGTCCAGACGTCTTCTCGAGAATTCTAAGTCTTGCCAAATCGTTACTAGTTCTTCGCTGAATCATTCTCGAACACGCTCTGCTCTGCCGAAGCCATACGTTACAATCTCATACTATTTCCACCGAACACGCTGAGTCTTCATA